GCACTCACTCAAATCAAGGATTGCAGAACAAGTGCTAGAAGTGAATGGTCTGATTTACAAACTCAAATCTCTTTCTTCTGAAGCATTTCCTCTTTATCGTTGTCGTTGTTGGCTGGAAGTAGCATCCAAGCACAGATTGTGATGATTGATGCTTCCATTGTTTAACTAGGAGAATCTACAGTCCTAGATGTCGAAAGAGGAAAAAGCTTGTTGCTGATATTTTATGGCCGATGATGCAGAGAAAGAAGGGAGCAGACTGGTTATTATATAGATGGGAAATGGGAAAGATGATTTTCACTATCCTCTTCTTTCTCTTGTATTGGTCATAAATAATGTTAGAGGACTGAGCATGACCTGTGATTAGCATGGTGATCTACATGGGAGCAACAATGTTTCATTAGGGGTTCCAGATGGATCAGATACTACAGAGAAAGAGGTGGGAGGGCAAAAAGAAGATGAAAATCGTGACAGAGGAAAGCCAAAGCATCAAGAGGCTGGTGCTAGTGGGTTTTCTGTTGAATAACCTGATCCAAACCATTAAAACTTTGTTTATTGGGTTAGCCAACCCGCTGATGACCCAGGATTAAATGGATACAATCCAACCCATAAATTAATAGTTGGGTTGGGCGGGTTTAGCAGGTTGGGTTGAAAAATTGTCACCCCTAGAAATAGGACTCAGTTACCCATGAACTTACAGAGCAGAAAGCTCAGTGGCTGATGCAATGGCAAGGCAAAGGGTCAAGAGGACTCGCATGTTTTGGATTATTTGGTAAGTTGAATATCTATATTAAGAAAAAGGAAGGAATAGGTAGCAATGCTTGTCTGTGCTAGGGGTGCTTGATCCATTTTTTATCACAATTAATAAAACTAATTGTTTCCAATTAAAAAGTTTTTAATTTTAATAAGTATTTAGAACTTAGAAGTGCAGTTGCATGTCAAAAAACTACTGACTACTAAACAAGGATTTAATTTATTTCTAATGAAGTAATTGATAGAAAGATTGAGAGAGTAATTGAAAAAAAAGTCCACTATTGTCTTTCTTTCGACCTCTAACAGTGTAAGTTAAATCATATGAGAAAGAATGATATGTACAAGAGAGATGTGTGCCGAGCACTCCGACAAATAGTGAAGACTTTGCTAACTTCTTATATATACTTTCCAAGTCCCCACCTTGGGGATTCCATCCTTAATACAAGTATACAACTGATTTCTTATGACTCTCTTGCTATACATCTTTCATGTTATAGACAGACCATAGAACCTGTTCACCACTAGCTTTCCAAGCTGTAGAGCTTTATCAAGTTACCTGTCCTGTAAAATTGCCAATAATTCCACCTGGAAAGAGTTACCAACACCAACTGGTCTAGAAAATAGTGCCATAATGTCCCCATGGTTTCTAAATGCACCCTCAATTCCATAGTTTCCAGGATTTCCCATAAGTCCTCGTTTTTCCAGGATTTCCCAAGATCCAAAACAAGTTTTACATCCATTCTATATTAGGCTAGCCCGAAAATAACTTTTCCCTGTTCACTCCTTGCTTTGCTAGAGTATTAGCCAGTATCTTTGCAGTTTGCACCCATGAGTGATATTCAACTGCCTTGTCAGTCTTTTGATCTCCCTAAAATTTGTATGTATTTTCAATGTTCTTGACCTTGTTCCCTTAGCCATTTCACCACCACCTCAAATCACCTTCTACCTGTATACTGTTGTATTTAAAAGAGGTTGCCAATCTGATTCCTTGCAAAGCTGCCATCAGCTCTGCTCTTACCTCCCATATGCCCTCTTTTATCCTTCTCTCTCTCTCTCTCTCTCTCTCTCTCTTTCTCTCTCTTTTCTGGTAAATGGTAAGAGATTGTATTAAGCTAGCAAAAGAGGGAGAGTCTCTTGGAACAAAAGAAATGTATATCGATGAGAGATAAGAGAAGGTAGGCCATAGCTGGTAATCAGATCCTTATAAAGTGATCTCAAGGAACTGTTCAACCTAAAAGCTTAAGCTGTTAGGTAAGGTACCTGAATAGGTATTTACTCTCTAGCATGCCTCCTCACGCGAAGGCCCATTGTGCTTGAAGCATGGGCAAGCACAGGCCCACCCATACCTTGCTGAAATTTAATTTTAATGGGAGCGATAAGGATTTAACACTAAACCACTTGGGCAAATAGGATCTAATACCATCTCAAGGAAATGTTCAACCTAAAAGCTTATCTTGTTAGGTTCTAAGCCAGTACCTTGAGAAGTGGCCACCCTTACAAGCATAAAAAATCTCAAGAACAGATACCCAGCATCTAAGTAGGCTTTCAGATCTAACAATTATGTCTCCATGGTGGAGAACTTCCCCTCAAGAAGTGAGCATCCTTACAGGCATACAAAATCTTAAGAACAGATGCCGTGCATCTAAGAAGGCTTTCAGATCTAACAGTTTAAGTCTCCATGGTGGACTTCCCTTCTTCCCCTAATGGTAAACCTCCTTCACTAGAGAAGATGATAACTGCATCACCCATTGATGATTGATTATCATAAAATGAGACCAAATTTCATGATTGTTCCTTATTTGTCAGATGACCAATGGTTTAGATTTTGTCCAGGATAAAACTTTGGAGGATACCTTATTTTTCTGTAACCGTCTCCATGGGAAAAATCATGACCTTGCCTCATAAAATGGTTGAACTGTGAAGATTTCAGATTTGTCTGCCTTCCAAGTCTTCTTAATGTCGGAACTAAACTACCTGGCTGAACCTGAACCCAACTTAGTATTTCCAAAATAGATACCAGCATTTCTGCCTCCCAGTCATTTGATGCTACTTCTCAATTGAGGCACTGAAATGATGGTACCACCCATGACCTTATACCTGTATGGCAACTTTCTCATTGAGAGCTAAGTTGAAAAGATCTGGAAACACCAATCACAGAAGTCTTTCAGTATATCAGGTGTCATTCCAGTACCAGTTGTAAATGTGATCCCCACTACCAATCCTGAATGCAAAAACTGTGAGAAAGCATCCCTCACCTTATCACTCCTCTTCAAGTGCTTGTTCTATGTGTACTTTTGATAGGCAAGGATTCCCAGCCCACTGGATCACTACCACATCTGCTACAAATAATTATCTTTCGAAACCCTTGGATCTTTTATAAAAATGAGACTCTTAGTATATGATAATTTATAGGCTGCATCAGTAGCATGCCAATAAGATGTATGCATGATAATAAAATTTCAATATGTTCTCTGCTTTGTAATATTTGTTGCCTAGGTGATTGCCTTGTTGTCCAGGTCTTTTTATATATAACTCATGGTGTTTAGTCTTGGCTCCTCCCTAAGAACACCTTGTTGCATGGGTGACATCTTTACTAATGTTAGTTGGTAGTCTGGGTAAATTGACTATTGTTTATTCTTTTTCTTTTTTTCTGTACCATTGTTTTTGACATCCTGTACTTTCTTTCATGAACTACTTTATCCCCTTCTCTTTCTTGGGATGATGGTTTTGCTAATTAGAAGGCCAAGTTATTAAATAGTAGTATATGCTTTCTTTGTAGCATGTGTCTATCATGTTGGTGTTTCAACTACAATGGGTGAATTTGTTGTTGTCATTGTGTCTACATTGAAATGAGGATTTGATATAAATTGATTTTTTTTTTTCAATTCCTTTGTGGGTGTTTTAGCTTGACTGCAACCAAATTTTCTTTGACTTCATTTTAATTAGAGTTTTCATTAAGTCAAAAATATTTGAACTGATTTTTACTGTTGAAAATAACTGGATTCAATTAACTTAAGAGGTCATTTGAAGTATGATTTCAAATTTATCAATTTCAATGTGAAATCCATCCACTTAAAATCAATGAATGTTCATGGAAGCCCATGGAAATGCTATAAAAATTAAGAAAGCATTATAAATCTAGAGAAGCTTTAGAAAAAGAAACATGTTATTAGTATCAATGTGTATGTAACAGATTATGTAACTAAAATGTCCATTTAAGATGAGTAATATAGGATGGAAAGTAGTATATGGTGGTCACCTGCCTGACAGTCTTAAGCTCCAAGTTGAGCATGGATAAATGATCCAGAGTCATGATACTGAAGTAATGCATCCTTGATCATAAAGAGTTTCAAACCTTAGCTGTATACTGAATCCAGCCCTCCCAAGATCCTAGATAGCCTGGGGTGGGATCATCATTGGGCGATGGCCCTATTCTTGATCATAATGAAATGCAATGAACATACTCTTATAGGGACAGGGATTTAGGTTGCTAATGGGCATGCAACACATCACATGCCTTGTGCTGGAGGGGAATTCAGCTAATGTGATTAAATAGATAGTTTGCATTTGATGAACTTTACAGAGGTTTGCCAACTAAACTAGATCGGGGAAATCATGTTTTCTATCACAATTCACATTAGATGGATTCCTAGATTGCTGAACTGAATTGAATATGGTTTACTGTTATTCGGTATAGTCCAGGCTTTTTGTATAGAGTGTGCTAAGCATAACTGGATTTTCTGACGAGAGAATGGTGTTACCGTTTAATCCTTCTAGTACATTATCAATACAACATGGTTACCTTGTGACCATGAAAGAAAATGTGTTACTTTCTTGTGCTACTTTCTTTCTGCTTCTATGAGATTTTTTCTTGGGAGTTGGGAACAATAAGATAAGTATTATACTACATTTTTGAAAAAGTTGTTTGCATTGTAATGTATGGCTAACATACAACAAGATGCTAGTAATCCACAAAATTTCTCATGTATTTGCTTTGTTTAAATTTTCTTTGTTGTGAAAATGCAAGATAAAATGCTGTTTTTGTTATATTTTCAACATAATTAAATTCTCTACATGAGATTTTTAGTGTACAAATAGTTGGATTTAACTTTGTTGAGTTGATTTTTGTTTTCATTATTCCAAGTAAATATAAGCTATTCTTTTAAGATTTAAGCATTTAAAAAAAACTTTATTCTTTAATTCTTTCGTAGCTTTTGTTAGCTGAAACTGTCTTTTTGTTCAACTTGTAGATCGCAGATTTCTGGAAGGAGGCTTTGATATTGAGTTCATTGCATCATCCAAATGTCGTCTCATTTTATGGTATAGTTCGTGATGGTCCTGATGGATCATTAGCAACTGTAACAGAATTTATGGTCAATGGATCGTTGAAACAATTTTTGCAGAAGAAAGATAGGTAGGTTTGTTGACCACCATGAGTCTAGTTTTACCCTAGAAAATTTAGTAACCCCCCCTCTCTCTCTGATAAATATGTATGTATCTTGTCGTCCCCCTTATCTCCTCTTTTTTGATGCCATCTCTATTATTTTGGCAATGTCTTAAGCATGAAATTCTAATGCTACATATCAAATTAAAACCTTCATTATACAGAACAATTGATCGCCGTAAAAGACTTATCATTGCAATGGATGCTGCCTTTGGGATGGAATACTTGCATGGGAAGAACATTGTTCATTTTGATTTGAAGTGTGAGAATCTGTTGGTCAATATGAGAGATCCTCAGCGGCCTGTATGCAAGGTATGCAGAAGTAGGTTGTGCTTGTATTACTGTTTCTTGTTGAGTTTGAACCAGGTAGATGGATTTCATCTTGTAATTCCATTTGGCCAGAAGTTTGTTTTCGATGATTGTTTAATTCTAGATAATTTTTTATTGTATTTTTTGGATTTCTGGAATATTTGACTTTCAGTTTTTGGAAGTTGTTAAGAAATAGAAATGAAGTTTGCTCTGGTATATCATTGAGTAAGAAGAGTTGGGGAAATAGGTCAAGGCTAGGGAGTATGTACTTTTGTCTGCATTGTATATACACAGTGTTTGGTTTGGATGTTGCATTGGAGTTCTTTTGTAATTGGATGAGGTTGTTCAACTTCTAATTGTAAGCAACGTTTAGTAAATTAAGTATGGATGGGTGCGTTGTTAAGCACAAAATACTTCTAATGGGTACACATATGATGCATGATGAGACTACTACGATAGTATCATATTTTTTTTCTGATAAATAATATCAATGATAGTATCATATTATGGAAAGACAAAAGTAGTCATGGAATACAGAAAACAAGCATGTAAATCATTTATTGAAAACAATTGCAATTCATATTTGCAATAGTAATTTTCTTACGCTTTGCTAAGATTTATATAGAAATTGTAGTATCTATTTATTTTTTGATTTGGTAACCGATCATTAAAAGATTAGAGGAATATAAAGCACATATGAGATGAAAGGTGCCAAGTGCCAACAAGGCTTTCTTTTCTTTAGAACCTCACCAATATTGATCTTCAAGTTTTGAGGTTGGAGGATGAGGGAGAAATTGCTGAATGAGACTTATATATTATACCAGGGTTGAGTGTTGTGGGTGCTAATGAATAAGGGGTTTTGTATCTTTACTGTGTTTTTACTTCCCTTATGTGATTTCTTACAACCTTTTCTTCTACCTTCTTATCCTTGTAATGAATTTTTATTTTTACCATAAAAAGATGCCTCACCATTTTTACCCAATGAGCCACTTTCGCTTCCATACACTCAATGATTGGAATTCTTGACTAAGCCTTAGCATTGAAAAGTTTTCCATTTCTCTTTTCCCATGTAGTCCATAATATAGTTTCCTTCTCACATGACATGATTTTCATTCCTTTCCTCAGTAGGCTTGGATGGGAAGAATTAATATGCCCACCAATTTGAAGGGTCCACTTGCACCACAACAAAAGAACTTTTCCTAAATTCTGGTTACAAAAAGGGGTAGGGGAATACCAAGTGGTAAGTAGTTTTTCTGCTTGCATTAAGAGAGAGAAATGCATGTAAATAGGAATCAGTTAAGTCTTTCTTAGAAGATTTCACAAGTCTTAATTTTTTGGTGATATACTTCCCAACAATAGGTCCTTACTTTGTGTGGCACTTGTCCACTCCAAATCTCTTTAACAGTGTGTAGAGAGTTACTTATTTAATCATGAAAATGATCCTGTATCTGATAGCATCAATTGAAAAACAATTTGGATCCATGATATGAGAAATTCCCTTGAATCTCTTTATTAATAAAAGTTTCTGTTATTTATCAAAAAAAAAAAAAATCCCTTGAATCATATTGAAGGGTTCTTTGGGGTAGGTCCCTGTAATACATGAGGTTTTACAAATTGCAAAAGGAAGGGGTTGAAGGATAAAACTAGAACTCAAAACAGTGACAAAAATAGTTCCCGTTTGGATTTTTTGAAGAAAAGGGTGGAGGAGAAAAAAACGAGATTTGCCTCAGATGCTCAAAGAGAAGATGTAATAATTAATAAGGGTGGGGAGACTGGACAAATAAGAGGTGGTGGTTGATCTTGGGAAAAATAGTGGAAACTAAATTCCAAGTAAGCAAGATATTGGGGTTATATTTTATAGGAGAGGAAGAATATGTGAGAAAAAATGTTCCGGGAATTGGAAGAGAGATCTCTATTGATCGAAGAAAGCTTAAAGGGAGACCTGAATTATGAAAGTTGTTAGGATTGGTGCTGGGTTGGGAATCTTAGAGGGGATGGCTGGACTTCAAAGTTCCTTGGGTTTTGGTAGTGAGCTTTGTTTTTTTTTAAGGGCTGGGGAAGAAAAGTATGTACTAAAAGGGGTTGGAGGGTATTGGTGGCATGGGTCTTTGGGTTTGGCTTTGAACTTTTTTGGGTGATATCTTGTCACCTTGTTTGTATCTCTTTTTTTCTTTAATAAAAATTTTCTTTTTATTTATTACCAAAAAACCAAAATTGAAATGATTTAGGTCCAACCCAGTATGATTTATTTCCATTCACAAATTTTCATTATACTTTAATTTATTTATTTTTTCCAAACCTATCACTCTTTTCCTGGATATTGAGTCATATTGAACTTTATCTCAAAGATACCTTCACAGTAGTCATGCTAACTAGCCCAATGTAAGATAAAATATTGTCATGAAGCATGGTTATACTGGGGGAGGAAAAGAATTTTTGTTGTTGCAAAATTACTGTTCACCACACAACATTATTAGCACTCAAATCTCTCCCTGAACAGTTAATACTTATTTAGGAGTTGGTCCACTGAAACCTCATTGCCAGTTGAAAATGTTAAATCATCCTAGTAGAAATCACTGATTGTAGATTTAGTTGAATTTCTTGTGAAAGGAAAAGGGGAGGAAGATAAAGATTTCAGTAGTAGAGAAGAAAAGAGAGGGAGAAAAGAGTAGGAAGTCAACCAGGAATCTTGAATTAACCCTAGCCACCAACCCCTCATTATATTTATACTTAACTTAAAGGATGAGATATTACAAGGATGCCCTTAGTAGGGCGGCTACTAATGTAGCTGAACAGTCACAACTTAAAAACATAAACTAATGGGCCTAAAGCCCAACAACTTCCTAACTAAATAGCTTAAAATAAGAATAAAAAACAACTAGGCCCAACTCAACAATCCTATAGAAATAGGATGAAAATCGAAAGCTAAATGCTTAAGAATTGTCTAGTAGATTAATACCTCCAATCATTTACCAATTTCATGAGAATTAAATATAACTATTACATGGCTAACCCCTCAATTTGTTTTCAAGACTTCCAGTCAAAAGTCTGATGTTTACTACTTGACCAAAATCTGACTATTTACTGCCCCAAATTCTAGATACCTTGCTTTCATTGGTCTAATCATTTTGAGAATTGGTACTTGCTTTTTTTTTTTGTTTTCTTGTGACAAAAATGAAGTATATGTCATTTAAGGAGATCTAAAAAACTTACAAGGGGAGGGGGGAGGCAGCGGATTATGGAGCTATAACAATGAGAAGAATAAATTTAACTGGCTGAGTAGGGATATTGTGGTTCATTACAACTGGGTGAAGAGGACTGATTATTCTTTTGATGATGGGTTAGCAAAGCAAGGGGTGGATAGGGTTTCGACTTTTGGGGCTAATTTTTGAATTTACCCTGTATTCTTTGGTGGGGAGTTAAGTCTTTTTACCACCCCTTTGTACCTAAGCTTCACATAGTTTCATATCTTTAATAAAGTTTCTTGTTATTGATCAAAAAAAAAAAAAAACTTACAAGGGGACAAAATTCCTAATAAAATCTATACAACAAGAAACTGCACAACTGTCCTTACTTGATGAGCATGTTTTAATGATGATTGATGCCATGGAACAATTTGTTGGATTTACATATACAGTCTTTCACAAACTATCCCAGAATATCATTAGCAAGGATCAAAATCTCGCAATGAATTGGTCCTTATCAGCCGATACAATGCGTATTGGCAGGGAACCGATATGTTTCTTTTAAGCCTTTTTTGTTTTTAAAAAAGAAACTTTGTTTTTAAATGTTAATAAACATTATGTCCAGCCCCTCTCTTTAATTTTGAGGAAAAGAACTAAAGCAGTAGGTTAAAAATGCCAATACACCCCTTCTGCTGTATTGAGGTGTATTGACATTTTGGACCCCCCTTTATCTTCCTACCGAAAAAGTTTGATGCCAAATTTATGGCAGTAAATTCTCTTTGATCTGATTGAGCACTTGGTAGCCTGCATTTTCTACTTGAGGAATACCACTTTTTCTTTTGAGCACTTATATCTTTGGTGCCCACTTCTACATCACTTGTGTGTGGGAGGGGAACTTTTCAGTTTCCTTAAAATTTAAGTGCATTCTGCTTTATGGTTATCAGGTATGATGGTGAGAGACGACTTGTTTTTAGCTAACATAATATTTGTGTCTATATTCAGATTGGTGATCTGGGCTTATCGAAGGTAAGACAACACACCTTAGTGTCAGGAGGTGTTCGTGGAACTTTACCATGGATGGCACCTGAGCTCCTCAGTGGTAAAAGTAATATGGTAACAGAGAAAGTAAGTCACGCTTAGCCTGATGGTGAAATATCAGCTTATATGTTATGTGAATGTCTTGTCTGTTGTATCTGCCTCTAAGTTTTGTTTTGCTGTCTCATCTTGTATTATACTTACATTTTCTGCTTTCCGGGATTAATATATGGTCTTATATCATGGTTTTGTTATTTTTGTAGATTGATGTGTACTCATTTGGGATTGTCATGTGGGAATTGCTTACTGGGGAGGAGCCTTATGCTGACATGCACTGTGCCTCTATAATTGGTAAGCACTATTTATCGAAATTTCAAGTTTCCAAGTTAACAAAGAAATATATCCTTGCTTGTGTCTTTGCTCATTCTTAGCTATAAAAGTTTTATGACTTTCAAGCACAATTGTGTTCAATTAGTTCCCAAACGGTGTACCTTTGTTGGTTTATTGTTAAGAGTAGATGATTCAGGGGTAGTTTAGTCTATTCGGCTTAGTTTATGTTAATTCTTATTTAACTAATCTGTCCATGTTTCAGTTTCTGTCCCCGCACTTAATTAGGAGCAGCAATGTCTTTGTATATATCTTGGAGGATAAGTATATTCTGGTTGCCTGGGGAGATTAATTCTTTTTCCTCTTTCTTTTTCACTCTCTTTCTCTCATTTCTATTTCTCCTCTGTTCGTACTGGTCTCCTTTCTAAATGGCTAAACCGAACTTTTTATTTTCAAGTTTTCTATCCTATGTATATGTTGGGAGCATCTGCTGGGGTTATTTTATGGCCAAGGAGATATTCCATTCTTTGAGTGGTAGGAACCATACACTTGTTCCGTGTACAGGGAAAAATCATCAACTATCATCACATGCTCCTTATATAAAGCTATATCCTTTGCTAAAGAATATGATGTGTTTTATTTAGAAACTTGCAGATTAGATTATGAAGTCTTTTACAGGTATTTTTATTTGAAAATTTTAGGAAGATTGCTAGTTATTTTAATTATTTTTCTTAGTATCTTAACTCAGAGCTGGCAAATGTTCATTTATGATGCGGAAGAAACATATCACTTGAATTAGCAGTAAATATGTAAGAGATTTCTTGGGTAAATAATGTGCTATGGCATTATGACATCATTAATGTGGATGAATTTCCTCAGAATTCTTATATGGATCATCAATGCATAAAAGAAGTCTATTAGGATATAGTGCATTCTACATTCTGATAATTAATGATCTATGCTCAACATCATAGTAAACCTTTATTGCTTCTGTTCTGTCTAAGGTGGCATTGTGAACAACTCATTACGTCCACAAATTCCAACATGGTGTGATCCTGAATGGAAATCGTTGATGGCAAGTTGTTGGGCTTCTGATCCAGGGGAGCGACCATCGTTTTCACAAATTTCACAGAAGCTGAGGAAAATGTCTGCAGCAGTAAATGTGAAATGATTCATTCATTTTTCATGCTGTGTATACCACTTATTGTTACCTAAAAGAATAGAGAACAGAGTTATAGATTTTGCAGTTTAAAGTCGCCTGCTCTTTTGGAAAATATGCTTAAGGCTAGTAGTACAAAATCATGCCTTTGATAGCCTTAGCAGAATCTTTTATTAGTTGCCATACATTGGTATTTTCTTTGTAGAGTGCAATTACATGTGCTCTAGATTGCCATGCATGGAGAAGGCCATATTATACACTGCAGGCTATTTATGCTTAGTCACAATGTGAGTTTGCATCTTTTCTATTATGGGTTAATTTTCTTTCTCTGGATTTCTTATCATGAACGTGAAATGTTCTCCACCTTCTTTTGCAGGCTCTCATTATTTTGGATTTGCTTAGGGCAATTGTATAAATCGTCCAGATGTGGGTGACTCCTATATCTCAGCTTTCTTTATGGAAAAGTAACTGGTATGGAAAGATGTAAATAAGTTTTGTGGTAATCAAAATGTTCTAAGCTCCCCATTGAGAGGGAAAAATGATTTAATTATTCTTAGGTTTCTGGACAGATCATTAGAACTGAAAATTTTGGTATATTATTTCTTTTTGTTTTTTCTTCCCCCTTTCCTGATATATTTTGGAAATGTATAATGAAGGATCTCTATTTTTATCTTTTTTTATATATATTTATATTCAGGCAGGTGTATACTTCGTGACGGGAAAAAAGGTTAATTTATTTTGTAAGTAGTAAGTAGAAAAGTTGTTTATTGTATGGAATGTTCTTCCATCACCTTTGATTTTTTGTGGACTTTATATATTAATTGGTTGGTTTGATGATGATGCTGTCAACTTCGAGACCGGATTGGCTGGAAACAAAATCACGCACACTGGGCTGGGCTGTCTATCACAGTGAACACACCAGTGAACATTGGCGTGTAGTGTTCACTACAAGCGCTTGATCTAGATCGAAGAAACTAGAGGGGTAGGCACATGCACAATATCCGCTAATAACAAGATTTCTAAACCACCAGTTGTATGTATGGTATTCTGTAAATCTTTCTCTACTTCTCCGAGCCAAGTTTGCCATGAAATCCTTTCTTCTATTAGCTTCTCTATAGCAGTGTTGCTTGAGGACGTTCCAATCTCTATTTAAAATTTTAGACGGTCAGGAGATGCCAGTTGCCATCACCGTTTCTGCTAAGAGGTTGAACTGTTGAAAGTGAGTCGGAGTCTGACTTCAAGATTACTTTTCTGTATGTATCCTTTCTCCAAGCTTGATGGTTTTGGACGCTCAATAGTGAAAAGTTCAGTATCAACTATATTGATCTACTTCCAAACTTGTTGGCAGCAATTAACGTTCAGGAACCCAAAAGAAACAATCTAATGAAGATCATCGTAGCATTGATATTGGTCGTCAGATATTAATCTAGTGAAATAAATAAATAAATAATTAAAATGCATCATAAAACATAAAAAACATAACGAAGCATTAATAGATCCTATATAATTGAAAAAATTTAGCATTAACAGGTTCTAAGAAAATATGCAATAAGACAATAAAACTAGGATATTAAAATAACAAGCAGATCTTGCACCAATATGGCATCTCCATAATCTCCAACCAAAACATCTCATGGAAAACTGGTACGTTATTTTGTAGTTCTACTGATTAGTATGCCAATAAGGATTTTTTTTTTCTCTGATGAACATGAACAAAAAATTGATTTCCGTAAACCTTTCTACTTCTGTGTTTTTATTTATTTAGCTATTGTTTTTGTTGTGGCTTTTTTTAGGTATAAATAACATTGGGTTAATTGCTGAAACCTACCCTGAAGTTTTTGACCTTTTCTTAAACCTCTACTGAAGTTTGGTCATTGCAATCACTTCCCCTGAACTCTGTCATACAGTTGCAAGTAGATCCCCTCTTATGAAAATGTTCAAAATATGCATACAATTACTATTTAGGTTGGTTTCTACAGAAAAAACAATCTAAACTTTATAAACAACAACAAAAGAAAGAGAATTTAAAGTTGAAACTTTAGCTTTGAGCAATTAATATGGAGGGCAATAACATTTCAATTTGATATTTGAATTAAATTTGTTATTTATGTAGGTATGCATATTATTTGGGCTTTCTAATTAAGCTAAGCTCAATAAAATAGCCCAAATTTATTAGAAATCAAACCAAATCGTTATATTATGATTTGGTCTGGTTTGGTTTGATAACTTCTCAAATCGTAATTTACTAGTTTGGTCTGAGATTTTCTCCAAACTGGGACACCTATCTATATCTATACCAAGGATAAAAATATTGATATGGTATGCCTAATACCGCCAAGCTAATTCTACTTTCATGTCAATATATGTAATAAATAACACTTTATTAACATAAATGTTTACATTCAAACTACAAGTTAAAAAGAATAATATTAAAAATTAGCATTTTATAAATCAAAAGAATAAATAATTTATAAATTTACATATATATCAAAAAAATAATTTTAATTTAAAAAATTTTCACAAATTTTTATAAATTATTAATTAATATTTTAATTTGCATTTAATATCAATGTATTTACTATTTATAAAAATAAAAATATTTTTGAAAATATAATATAAGTTGAATCTATCAAATCCAATAATCTACATTTATATAAAAAAATAATTTTTTAAAATTTAGAAAATTTATAAATAAAAATATTAATAATGGAATAATTACTTTAGTAATTAAAATTTATGAATTTTCATATGATATGCATCTTCAAAAATTTACTAGATTTCATATATTTTAAGTTAAGTTTATATATTTTTATAAATTATTAATTGATATTTTAATTTACACTATAATAACATACTTATTATTTATAAAAATAAAAATATTGTTTACCAAACATTTGAGAATTAATTTTTTAGTTGAATTTTTTTTATTAATGTTAAAAAATAAAATAATAAAATAGAAAAAAATAATATAATAATTCAAATATAATATTTTTATATGTATTATGCCTTACACTTTAATGGATAATAAAATAATAATGACTTTTTGCATGTATTAATTAATATGTGCCTTGGACTCTTGCTTGATGCATTATTAATAAAATTTTATAATATCTGTGTATCCTACAATACTAATTATAATATATTTCTTCATATATGTACCATCTAAATATACAATTCCTATGAATTTGTATGCATTTCTTAGCATATTTGAGTGTTTCCATATTTTTCGTTCGTATCCATGCATTTCCCATGCGTATCAGTATCCCAATTATTTGATACAATACCCGATACTGATACTTGAATCATTGATCTATATTGGAAAGAGAAAAGAGGGGAGGTGAAGGGTTATCTTATCACAAAGCTCACACAGACCTCCTCCTCTCTTTTCTTACACATGCGGTTAATTTTTTAAATTAAGTTACTAAGAAGTCAAAATTAAAACACTCCTAGGTCTTAATTGTCCCTATTAATCCATCATTACTCAAATAAAGACCCTTTTAGGTTTTAATTGCTTTTAATAAAATCCATTATTTCTCTCCAATAAGATCAATCTCTCTCTCTCCCCCCCCCCCAAATAGTCAATATTTGTAACCTCTTCCCTCATTAAATCCTCAAATTACTCTTAAATCTCCTTGGTTCTCTTAACCCTTTCTGGCTCTCTCTAAGGGGATGAGGCGAGTAAGAAAACCCTTTTGGTATGGCTTGGAATAGAAGCAATGAGGATAAGTTTATTAAAGATTTTGAGGATGGTTATAATTTTGAAGGTTTGTTTGGGAGAAGAAAGTTGAGAAACCTGGTTGACTTCTCTGTAGATAATGCGTACAGGTGGAAGGGAAGGTGTTAAAAGTATCAAAGGTAGAGGTAGAGGGAGTAAGAGGAGGATTGGAGGAACCTGGTTCGAGTTGGTATTGGACTCTGAGTTTCCTTGGTTGTTTTCTCTAAGCCCTTGCAAAATCAATGGGTTGGGCTGATTCCGGATCTAAGTGTTTGTTGGGTTGATTCTGGGGCAACTTCTTTTTTGGTGTTTTGATGGGCTATTTTTTGGGGTTGGGGCTCCAAGTTTTTTGTGGTGCCTCTTGTAGTTGTAGTACCTTTTTCCATCTCCTCCTTTTCTTTTAATGAATTTTTATCTATTACCAAAAAAATAACAACCATAAGCCATCATAGTGGCCATTAGAAGAAACCCCAAAACTATCTCCAACCCAAGTTTTAAAGAATAGCTTGAATTTTCAATCGCAACATTGGAGTTGTTATTAGTAATGACAACTCTACTAGGTTTTGGCTAGATAATTGGAAGGCCCTTATCAATTCAGTTGATGAAAACTTAGTCTCAAATATTGATCTAAAAGTGAGTGAGGTGATTGACAAAGAATGACTCACTTGGGATGCACCAAAAATTAGAAACATTGTTCCCTCTTCAGTATGAAACAAGATCAAGCCCATCTTTATCCCTTCGGGTGATGTGGAAGATAAATGAATCTGGAGGCCCAATCTGAGTGGGGAATTCTCCATTAAATCTGCATATAATGAGGCATGTTTAATGCATGGTCATGACTTGAGATCTATGGATGAAATAAATAAAATATGGGGCATGAAAACCCCTCCAAAATACAAGTATTTCCTTTACCTGCTTCTCAATAACGAACTTCCCACTAAGAAATTGCTAATCACAAGAGGGATGGATATTGATGGATCTTGTGAGATTTGTGGGGAAGAAGAAGACATGGACCATATCTTTATAAACTACCCGATTGCCAAACAAGTTTGGTTGGGTACTAGAGACTCTGTTAAAGTTCCTAGCGACCTAAATGGTTCTGTCCTCAATTAGTGGAACCTCGTTTCTAATAATGAAGGTGGGGGTTCAATTAGTTGCCCGTATAGAAAGAAAAAACTTATGTTGCTTCTCTGGCAACTTTGGAAAAACCGTAATGATAGGGTTTTTAATAAAAGAAATGTGGCTCCTCTCATTATTATTATGAGAGCACGAAATTCTTGGGCTGAGATCCAAGTTAGTGAGGAAAGGGATGTGATTAATTAGAGGAGAAGAGAAATTGTTCCTATTAGATGGTCAAGTCCTGGATTAGAGGTCATTAAAGTCAATTTTGATGCCTCTTGTATTAATGGTAGCTTTTCGATAGCTTGTATAGTTAGTGACCATATGGGCCGAATATTGGACTTCAAGGCTTGTAAGTTAGGCATTTCTATTGTCAATGTGGTAGAGGCATGGGCTTCGTGGGAAGCCCACAATGTTGCTCTTAATTTTCCTAATAGGTTCATTATCATTGAGGGCGATTCTAAGCTGGTGATCGGCTATCTGAAGAGTGCTACCAACCCCCCATGGAGAGTGAAGCCGATTATTGAAGGTTGCAAAGTGTTGTTTGAGAGACTTGGTGGATGGTGGATTACCGTCATGTCTTCAGAGAGGAGAATATGGTTGCAAATTGGCTTGCTAATAATGCACATTCTAATGAAGTTTGCAATAGTTCCACTCCTAAGGATTTAATTGTTATTTGTTGTGTTAATTTTTTGGGACGTGCTACCCCCGTTCTATGTAGCCCCATCTGGTTCTATCTAAAGAAAAAAAGATAACATCTGCAATCTGAAAATTGTGGCAAGGAATTAGCTGATCCTGTGTGGCTAATGAAAAATGATAGTTGAACAAAGATTGTGGTGTTGTTACCTTCACACCAATTGAGGTAAGGTCATCCACTTCAGAATTTCCTTCCTTCTCTACTTTGAATAGAAATTTGTTTAGGTTTGGACTGGAAAATTTGGATTTTGACATTAGTTTGTGTCTAGACCAGTGCCCATGTTTTAGGGTTGGGCTTAGAATA